ACTCAATCAAACGCTTCAGACCAAACGTGTTCAACACTGATGAACAACGATTGTAGTTCAAGCCAACATGTACTGCAATGCCGAGAATGCTTTGAGTCACTATTTTCCCAAGTCACTATGATGTTAAAATTACTATTTTCGAGTACATGGTAGAGAACGTTACTCTGGTTCACCAATGAAGTCCATTTAGGATTCCACGATACTGGCTTAGAATCCGAAAATCAAAAGTTTTGGTACCAAAACTTCATACTACTGGACGCTCCCTTATTGCCACTTGTCTCAACAACATCAATGCTATTCTGTGTAAAAATTATACCTAGAGAAAATAGAAGCATGTATGCATCATAGTCGTAAAGTCAACACAACTTATAGGGTTTCAAATTTCTATTCATTTCCGCAGAGATATGGTGAAGAATTAAATGTGAGTTTTGCGGCTGCTACCCAGAATGTCCAAAATCATTAAAAATATTCTAATGAAGACACTATTTAAGCTGATACGCAAACAGTGTCCTAATCAGAAGTGACCTGTTCTGGATGAGCCAAATGATTTCCCGGTTTGAACCCCTTAGAATCAGCCCAATTCGATGGCTGCACTACCGGCAACTCGGTACCATCTTCAAACGCCAAGAACCGATACAAATATTATGCGTTGTCAGAGTTTTTAAAAAAAAATCCTCGGTCAGCCAAGACCATGATTTATTATTTGGCGGACAGCAACCCACCATTACTCGCAATAACCCAATCTACTTGTGCCTTAAAGACCTCCATACAGTGTACTAATTTGTATTGATAACACTCGGGATCTGAGATAGTCAAACGATCAATACTTTTGCTCCCGTAAAAACAAGTCAAATGTTTGAAACCAGAGATTAACCAAATTGCATAGGTAGGGAGTGAAACTGAACAGCAATGATGGAAAATTGTTTCTGCTGCTCAGTCGAACAATCAAAATTCACTGCCCAAATTTTTCGTGTCAATTATTTTGTTTAGCTTACTCGCGTAGCTGCTGAGGACATCGCAAACCCGAAAAGACTCGACTTGGTGATTGTAAGTTCTCCAACGTGACAATCTAACTATTTCACGTATAAACTTTGTTCAATACGAATGCCGTTTACTTCAAGTGTACGCTGTACAATAATATGAAAATATTCACAATGATAGGAGGCGCCGAACCTGAGGCAACCTTGCATCAATGTCAAACGGTTGAGGCATGCGTTTGTGTGCACCCACAACGTTCACCCTAGATTCCTCACGATAAACATTCCTATTTGATGTGTTCAGTTACTTTCGGAGTTTTATTCAAAATTCTAATAGTACTCTCGATCTGCGTACTATTATACCTGCAGCTGAAAACAGTGTAAAGTATGTTAAAACAATAAGGTTTATTTTTGACGAAATTACTTCCTGTTTTTGCATGAAGACGAAAATAATTGAGCGTTGGTGTATAAACCCATGATGAAAAATTACAATGTTTGCATTGGACGCGGTTAAATCCTTGGCCGGGACAAACATTCAGGTGGTCTTCTCTGTCCGCATCTGAAAAGCATTTTCTCAAACCAGTTCTCAACAAACCACGGCTTCAATTAAACCTAGCAATAACGAAACTTGTGACATTCTGAAATGAGAAGTCCCGCTCCCCGCCATCCACGTTCACCTAAACATCGCATTACTCTTGTCAACAGCCTTGCCCGTTGGATCAATGAGTGATATTGGCCATTGATAGCAGTCGGTCGTTTGTGTGGATTCTGCAATGGATCAGGCGTTGTCATCATCCAGATACCCCAACGTCTTTGGTGTGGATTGTCATATAGTGAGGTTGGATTTCGTAGATCCGAAAAGGAGAGGTCAGTGTGAATGTATTAGTTTTGTAGCGGACCAGATATAAAATTCCATCATTCATGCCTACCGACAACTTGCTTTTCTTGTTACTCCAATCAGATCAACCCATTTATTCCTCTCGGATGGTTGCATAGCATAACACACATTTGAATGACAGTATTCTTCTCACGAGGAAACACGCCTCAAACTAATGTTTTATTTCGCCCATAGAGTAGAATCAGATGACGAGGTTAATGTTGATGCAAACTGGCAACACAACAATTTGTAAACCGAAGACTCATTTTCCTGTGATCAATCTCTTCTGAATGGTGTGTTTTGATTCACCGGGAAATACAATCGATTGGTTTTTCAAGATTGTTTTGCCTTCCATGCAGCTCATCAAAACATGGACTAATCAGTCCCCGAGTTTCCGCCACCTCAGGTTCAACTTGAATCCAAGTTGGACGGAACTGGTCAAATCTGTCGTTTGAATGCGAGTTGTTTTGAGCAAAATCTCAACAAGATTCCATGGAATCCCCCGTTTATATTGTTCCGCTTTAACAAGACGTGCTGCATCACGCCACCTTACGTTTCTGTTGGCGAACATCACAACGACGGATTCGACTGGACTCGGCTGAATCTCTCGTATGCGAAGGGCCGTACTTTTCTGATATCTGGCGAAGCAGACAGTCACACCAGAGTGGTGATATATTTTCAACAGCTTATCTTGCAACGGTCAGTGCGGGTTATGCAAAATTCAACATTAATACAACCAGACAAATGATAAATAATTGCAATGCAAATGA